TTTTTGGCCAGACAGAAACTGCACACAGGCTGAATGTAAATATAAGTCTCTGTAAATCCACTCGCTGACAGCAGGTGGCGCTTATGGAAAAGCTGTTTCCATAAACTCCGTGGACAAAGCAGTATTGCGATTAAGAACACTTTCTTTAGGTATTACATGGAGCGAAGATGAAAACAAAATGCCATCGAATTGTTTCTGAAGACCAACCTTCAGAGGTACATTCATATAATTAATTCATTCATATATTCATTTGTATAATTCCCTTAGCACTCTTTTAAAACCTCCCAGCTTTTCCGCCCTGTTTTCACTCAAAACGAAACTACTCTGCATGCTGCATTACTTAAAACTGCTTTATGCTGGACAGTATTTATTTATCGTGAGTTGTTCAAATCACGGTAATCTAATACGGTTTTAATGACAATTAAAAGATGAAACAGTAATACTAACTGTCGGGAATTTTATCATGATTTATCGTCAAACCGGTAATCGTTACATCCCTACACTAGAGCAACTTGAAGCTAAGTACTTTATTATGGGCACATAATATTAATATTACATAATATTAATGTAATATTCACCCTTGTGGATTTTACTAAAATAGAATGTTTTTAAAGCTCCAACCCTAGTCGTAAAATCTCACTGTTTGATGAGAACCAGCAAGCATTTTTTTTTTTATTATTCTTATTATTTTTCTTCTCTTCTTATACAGAAATAACATTTGTGCAGTGTTTGATGTGAATTTGTTCACTGACCTGAATGGCTGCTAAATTAAGGACACAAACGTCAGACTTGAGAACAGGGCCATATTGAATATTTGTTTGTGTGTGTGTGTGTGTGTGTGTGTGTGTGTGTGTGTGTTTACACACATGAGATGATGTTTTACCTTCAAATTGTATGTTTTCCAGTCAGATTACACACATTCAGATTCAGAACTATTCTTTCGTATAGCAACTAGTATTATGTTAATCAACAGATTCTCTAGTACAATTTGATATATAACAATTACTTAAATTTCACCTAAGAAAAAAAAAAACACCCTAAAAATACCATGGCTGATTAAAGAAGAGGGTCATAACACTACTTTTCACATTTACTAATGTGCACGTGCTGTCTGACTTCTACTTTCTACTATATTTTAGCTTATATTTTTTATTTAATATATTATGTATTTTGTTGCAACATTTTTCTAAATTGTATTATTTATTATTATTATATATATATATATATTTTTTTTTTTGTAAAATAAAATGTGTTTGCCTTTTTAAATTATAGGATAGATTTGGGGTATGGGGTTGATGGAAGTTGATTAAAAACAAATATTTAACAAATTAATTTGAATAAAAAAATGCAAATAAATAAATAAATAAATAATGCATGTATAAAATTTGAACTAATGTTGTTTTTAGTGAATTGATAATGAATTGGTGAGTTGATGAAAAGCTAGTAATTACTTAAATCGAAAGTAACGTTAAAATAAACAAATGAGGCTGCACACTTTTATCAAAATAAAAGTGAAACAGATATAGGTCTTATCATATCGTGATTGTTAATCAAAGTTTGTGTTGTGTTGCACTGTGTTTCAGAGAGAAGAGCAGCACTTCATTTACACACGTGCAGCTGATAATATCCTGTTTTCAGAGCAGTTTGGTTCATAGTAAATGCTGTTTCTCACCAACTCTGTCTGTGAAAGCACTGTGAGTTTAATGTGCATTTTGGATACATAATGTGTGCTACGTTCACTTTATTTACATCCACATTCGCATAGTTGACAGCTTTTTTGTGGACGGAAGTTTACAGCATTTCACCAATATTCTGCCAAAATAAAAGCTCAAAGATGTTAAAAATTGAATATTTGAAATTAAAGAATTTAGAACACATATTTTTATTGTAACTTGTAGTGTTAGTTGGTTCTTGTAAAGAGTGTAAACACCCTTAAATGTAACTGTTATCTATTTACAGTATTTTAAATGTCATGTGACCATTAACCAACCAAGTGAACCATGAACATGCAAATGTGTCACTAAATCAAAATATTAACTTGAAATGTCATAGAGGACTTTAAATATTTTACATCTAAGGGGTTCAGCTGACAAAAACCTGAAGAAAAAAACAGTTTGTTATGCTGGTGATTATTTTTGATGTTAAGTAGACCAGTAACACAGAGATTATCTTTTTTTTATTTTTGAGTATATTTCTGTTGCGTGAACTCACCTGCCATGGTTTCTAGAGTGTTCCTCCTGTCAGCGTGTCCAGGGTTATTCCAGCATGTCTGATCAGATTAAAGCTCACAATCCCAGTAATTAAAACTTGTGTTACTGGACGACAGTAATTTTCTTCTATCTCTCTTTCGTTCTCTATAAATGTGCATGCATGCAAAAACCTTCATGTTTTGCTCTGTATCATCTTTACATCCATTGCCTCATACATACCCACACGCAATAAAAACACACTCTCATTGTCAAAGGCCACTCTCTCTCTCTCTCTCTCTCTCTCTCTCTCTCACTCTCTCACACACACACACTCACTCTCTCACACACACACACACACACACACACAGTGTTCTGTTGAACTGCTCTGACATCACAGAGTGTCCGCAGGCAGAGAACTGGCAGAGTATGCCCTAGCATTTCTCTCGTTTCCCACACACACACAGACTCACACACACACACACACACACACACACACACACGCACATGCCTGAAGCTCCTTCACCAGCTCACGCGGTGTTGCTCACATGCACTTCTTTGCATTTCCAAATGTTAGGCTGTGTGCACTATCCTCAAGAAGCTACCACACCCTTCAGTGTTTCTGGGTATGTTTCCATTCAATCACTGTTTAGACTGAAGAACAGACAACCATTTGATGATGTTTATGATGTTAATTTAAGTCTGGACTCATTTTTGCTGAGTGCTCTGTGCCTAAAAATGTAGTGTCATCATGCTGGACGCTACATGTTGAGTTTTATATGCTCTTCCACCACTCATCACCACATGCCGGTATCCCAAATATTCTTTAAGTAGGTTAACCAGGAAATCAACCACGAAAGACCATGCTGGTCCAGCAGATAAACTAGAACCAAACCGACACCGGTCAGCATTAACCAGTCTGGACCAGCACAGAGCATCACAGCAGGGCAAACTACAGCACTTCTCTTCTAATAGGTCAGGATTTTTCCACATGATTTTTATTTTTTTTCTCAGAAGAGACTTTCTTCAAATTACTTTCCTAAACTGAGTTAGCTGATATCTGGTCAGTTTCTTCTTTGAACTCTGAAATTCTGTCGTGTGTCATTTTTTTGTCATGTTGCTCAGTATGGCCTGGTCTTAGCAGTGTTTCTAATGTGTCTCAGCCAAGGGTTCCTCAACTTAGGATCCAATCACAAACCAGTGCTCCCCCAGTGCTCTTCACTCACTTGGTGCTATGATTTCTGTTGTTTGTATGTTTGTCATTCCTTAGCTTTTTAAATGTTCTCTAAGGCTAAAAGCAAAGCTTTTGTAGGCCTTCATTGATGTGCCATTTTTAATGTTCTGTAAGTTGCTGTAAGATGATTGTTATTGATTTTAGTTACGCTTCTTTGTGGAAGTCTCTCCCATTCTTTACCAAACTGACCTTTCCATAACTTTTCTGTCCCATTTGTATTATATTAACAGTCAGTTTCTGGCAACATTCAGAAATCTACACTTGATAGGTCTGATATGAGCTCCCATGTATTTTTAGATATTACTCTGTAAGCAGATCTGAGATCATTTGTGCTATTAGTGTTACATTGACATTTGCATTAGTTGTGCAAGTGGAAATAATAATAATCCTTCCACCAAGCAGTGCAATTCTTCAGCCACGTTTAACAGACTCAGCAGTGATGCGTTAATACTGATGTAATGAAGTCAGTTGTGTTTATAGAGTATTTTACAACAACTTCTAGGTGGTTAAACCAATCATAATCAAGAAAGGAACTATCCATTTATCATTTGAATTTTGCTTTGAGTAAATGAGAATCAAAGGTTCACTGACATCCTGCTATGGTTTGTTTTAATATTTCATCAGCTGTGGGTATTCAGATGAAACTAGAGTTCTTCCAGAGGAAGTTCTGGACTGCCAGCAGACAGACACACACACACACACACACACTTTATTTCATTGTTTAATTAGTTAACATGTGTTTGTAGTTTATTTGCATTTGCATGAAATACAATGTTTCCTGTGTTAATTTGGGTTTTAATAAATTTGATTACCAAAATAAATACAGTGCTGCTTGAAAATTTGTGAACCCTTTAGAATTTTCTATATTTCTGCATAAATATGTTTCACACAATTTCACACAAATCCTGAAAGTAGACAAAGAGAATCCAATCAAACAAAGGAGACAAAAATATATACTTTGTCATTTATTTATTGAGAAAAATGATCCAGTGTTATATATCTGTGAGTGGCAAAAGTATGTGAATCTTTGCTTTCAGTATCTGGTCTGAC